TGACTATCTTGGCTAGGAACTTAATCCACTGCCTCCCCAGTTTTATCAGTACTAGCTGACCCAAAATAGGTTTACAAGAGCAGAGCTAATCTGCCCATTCCTCACTTCTACACCAACCTACGGAAGTGACCAGGTATAGCTGGTGAGAGGGAAAGTATATTTGGACCTCTTTAGAGAGTGTCAGAACTAGCTACCTGGGTTAGGTATGCTTCTGTTGGTTACTCTCCTTTCTTCCCAAAATAAAACTGTGGTTTTGAGGCATGATCTAATAATGAATATGAAATAACAGAAGGCTATTGGGAATAACAGACTGAATAAGCAGTCAGTTAGAAAATGATAACCTTCAACCATTAGGCAACCCAATGCAGTATTTGTTTACCAATTTTTATAAAGTTTTAGTACCACAGCAGCTACTGGCTGAATTTACAAAGATTAAAAAATAGATATTGATAAAAATGAAGAGAAGAGACAAAAATAGTTAAAACTAAACAAAATAAATGGGTTTTGAATCATATTCTGAACTATGATATAATATACAGAATACACAAGGTCAAAGACAAAAAATTTTTTTTAACCCATTTATAGCTATAAGCAGGACTCAACAAATCACTGAATCTACTCGCCCATGGCAAGTAGATTTCAGCTGGTCGCCCCATTCACTGGTGGCACACACATGTGCAATGCAGGTCTTGCACATGCACAGAGCAGGGCTGGCGAGTAGGTTTTGCCACTGTTTGTCAAGCCCTGGCTATAAGCTTCAGAGGTGTAGCTAAGTTAGTCTGTAACAGGAAAAATTTAAAAAACAACAAATAGTCTACTAGCACCTTAAAGACTAACAAAACATGTAGATGGTATCCTGAGCTTTCATGGGAAAACCCACTTCTTCAGATGACTGGAGATCCAAGTCATCTGTCCAGAGCCAAGAATAAATGAGGGAAGGGGGGGAGAGAAGGAAAAAAAGGAGAAAAAAGACAGTGAATAAATTGTTTAAGTTACAAGAGGCTGATAAGAAAAATTAGCAGCTCCATTGTTTGGTTGGTTGGTTAAGTCATTAGGATGGGGAAGGTAGTGTGCGAGCCAGCAGATGTCTTTGTTTATTCCGTTCTGATAAGAATTAAACTTGTAAATGAAGTTAAGTTCCAACCCTAAGATTAGGATATTAACCACTCTTGTGAAATCTAATACACTATAACCATTTTAATAGATATAGAAGAGAGATATTTGTACAGAAAAGATATAAGTACAAAAAAGGAAAAAATATTTTATACAATTTAGTACACTTAGAAGCAATTCTCAACATGCAAAAAGTATATTTTAAATATTATAGGTCTTGGCACTTTTAAAAAAAATATCTTTCACTAGTTACTGGAAATGTATTATCACCTCAAATAACAATGTTGAATGTATACTGTATTCTCCAAAAGATTTTAAGACCAAGGAGAGTATTATGAGCATTTCAGAATTAAAGTAGGTAAGTTTAAAGAACAATCAAATTTTCTTTCAGTAGAACTTATATTCTGCTTATTCTTCCACATACAAATTCACTATTGAAAAGTGAAATATAAGACTGTGTCTGATAGAAACATGCCACTTTCAAACAGACACACCCTTGTTTGCTGAATTCCTACATTTATGTCACAAGTAAAAATCAAACCCTGTGCACTAATATATAAACTAGGGACTATGCTTGTTATGCATTATCATCTCTATACATTAGAATCTCAATCATACTCAAACAAATTCACTAAAGTGTGGTTTTCAATCTGCTAACTATGCATTCCATAATAGCCTGTAATTATTAAAAACTGACAAGAAAGCTACGCCACCTGTGTTTATGTGAAGCCAGGTAATGAAAAAAACAACAACGCTGTCATCACCTCTCAATTCCTGATTGCATTATCAAAACTGTAGCCGAGTTTGGCATCTGGGTGTGACCTTGTTAACTGCTAGGGTAATTAAATTTATTCTATTGGGAAAAGGGATGATAAATTATTAGCAAGAAGATTTTGTTCACATTTTATTAAATTGGCCTGTCAAAGGGTCGGCCAAATTATCAAGGGCCTCATTTATTGGAGGCCAGCCATATTGCCACATCTGTTACAATTATTTATAATTTCAGCGGTTGAAAACCAACTGAGTTAGGCATCCGCCATGTAAAGTAATTTACAAATTATCTGATGAGGGAGTGTTTTAGCTTCTCCCTCATTTCTAGCCAGCAGAAAGCCGCACTGTAATTACAGAACACGATTAGGTTCTTTGGGGAACTTATCTTGCACTCATAGCCATAGTAAGATGCAGCAAGAACATATGGAGGAGCTTGTGCTTCTACTCCCTGAAGCTCGTGACCCGCCTGCCGCTGAGCCCTTGAGTTGAATTTGAATGAGAGTGCCATGGCTAATGTTCTACACATGCACCATTTATGCCACAAAACAAATCGGATCACTGTTAATTATGAAGCAGCTATAATCAGGCCTTCACATCTGTGTAATGTGAAGCGCAGTAGGCTGTATTCCAATAATGTATGACTACCTTTGGGTCGCAAATTGCAAGCCATATTGCCTCAGTAGTAGTTACTGAATTCAATGCAACTCCTTTGATAAAAGCCCATCACAAGGATATTTTTATCCTTTTTTTTTTTAAACACAAGCCTTCCTTTATCAGCTATTGACCAGAACAGTTAAAGCATATGGCAGAAGTTCATTAATGAACAGTAGCACACAGCACTCTAATTTAATGAAACCACTTGAGCCATAAAAATCAGATTTAGTTAATTCCCCCTTTCCCACTTTTTTTCTTTGCTGCATCTAGCCTAAACCCTGGACTCTAACATAATGCCATGGGTGCTCTTGTTCTAAAATATAATTATATTTGCCTACATTTATAAACAGAATTCATATTTTCAAAGGTTGTGTGTTTTCTATCATGCAGTAGGGGCAAATAGAGAGAGAGAGAGATGGCCAAAAAGTTTTTTTGCATAACTTACATTTAATTCAATACCAATTAATAGAGAATGTGTCATTTGTATTTTAGAAATTACTGTCTGGCAGATGCCTTTTAGCAACCCCCCCTAAAAAAAAACCACCAAAACAAAGAAAAACAAAATACCTCTTTATTCAGTGAAAAATCTTTCTGTGAAAAAGCAGCTAAACAAGCTGCACCCAGATGGCAAACCAGCTACAGTTTAATTAATCCACTAAAAGCCATTCAGTTTTCAGTAAGGGTAATGTAATTTTGAATAATTGTACGGGAAAAAAAATCACTAAAACGATCTTAAGTTTTATTACAGCGGCATGAATAGTGCCACTATAGAGCAGTTAAAGTTGAGTTGCTGTTTCCATTATGAACCCTACATTTTCAGTATTCAGTATCTCGGCCATTTCACATTGCTTTAGGTTGAAAATAGATATAAAATTTGTTAGCCTATTAACATCAGAACAATGAATTAAATTCAATCAAGCTATTTTTGAGAAAAAGTTCTACAAACAGTGCATTTCAAAACTGGTTATAGATTTTACTGGCAGGCTCTATAACAAAGATAGCTTAGTTTTCAAAAGTTATGCAGTTCATTCTTAAAGTGCACTTATATTTATTTTTACTGTTTCAAAGATAAAAAATATGAAAGAGCTATTTCTACGTGCTAATAATGCCTCAGCATCCTTGGTGGAGTCTCTTGTTGTCACTGTAAAATGCCCAATTGCCTTATACTAAAAGAAGGGTGTTGTGATTGTGTTCTATATTGGTAAAGTGCTAGAGACCCACTGTTCCAAATACAAGTGATGTTTATAGATACAGTACTTTGACACAAAAAATAATACTGTGGGACACTTCTAAGGTCAAGTGTTTGGGCTAAGTTACAATCTATCCTTATAACCCTAGAACTGTCCGATTTAAACACTGGCTTTATTAAAATATGAGGAAAATATAGGTCTTTGTGAGAAACACTATTCTAGTTTTCTACTTCCTTAAACAAAACACTGGGTGCATCTGAAGTGTCGTTTCACTCTTTTAAAATTTAAAAAAATGTCTGGAAACTCAAAATTTACTGCTGATTCTGACAGAAGCAAAAGCATGTTCTTGTATACTTTACAGGAAAATTATCTGTAAAGCATTTTAGCAGGAGTTTGTAGCAAAATCTGAAATACTGATATTAGGCAGTAAAATTACTACACTTTTAATTACAATTATTTACAGAAATGGTGATTGTTTTAACTTAAAATTAAAGAGCACTGATACTTCCACAAATATAGGTACTACCATTATTACATCACATTTCAATATATACAACATTTAATTTATTGTAAGCTCAATTACAAGTCTTGTAAAAGAACTAATGTAATAATCTCTATCAAACTGATACTAGAAATAGATTCTATATCTTGTAAAAGAACTAATATAATAATCTCTATCAAACTGATACTAGAAATAGATTTGGGGGAGATCAACATTTGAAAAATGTTACTGCTACTTTCTATCATTACAGATTGTATTCTTACCCAACAGTTCATGTAAACTAACTTAATCAATTTTTACTTCTATTTTTCTTTCTTCAATTTTATAACTCAAAACACAAAATCTCAAGTAGAAAGTAATTAATAGACTTTTGGTTGCCAGAATCAATACTCAGTTGTATTACGGTGTTTTAAATGATTACCATAATTTGATGACAACATACTGTTCATTATATGGAAGGCATTTTGCTCCCATAACTATTGACAGTTTAAGAAAATTCCATTTTGAAATTTCCATTCTGAGACTTTCTATGTGAATATATTACCATTATTTTTATACATTTTAGTAATGTAAATTAATTTATGTTGTAGTTAATACCTTGTAAAACATTGTGTTCAGATTCAGCTATGATTACTAGCTATAATTAATAGGGAATTATTTCTTATTACAGAAACAAATGTAAATAACAAAATGTTTTAAAATTAGGATGTTTGCCTATTAATATAATTTGTAGTTAAAATGAACTAGAAAACTCTTAAAAGGAAACCTACCTCAATTTTGTTCTTTTTTGCCTCAATTTTGTCCGAATCCCAGGTGAGCATGCAGAAATATCTTGTAGTGTTCTTTAGGCAGGTAGTCTTTTGATAAAAGATGAAGATGGAATAGCACTATTGTACTACTCCCCACAGCCTTTGCACTTAGTTTAACAAAATATATTTTAATGATTGTTAGAAAAGCTTTTTTCGTTTAAATATTTGTTTTGAGGTTGGGACTCATTAATGACTTTTAGTAGTATAGCCACAAACAATGAGAATATCAAGCTCAACAGTTATATATTTATACCGACAAAATTTCACAATCTTCTTATATGCAAATTTTCAATTAACTTTAAATTTTCAACCACAAACTAGGAGACCAAACAGAAATGTTATGAGTAGTAATCTGTTTACATATGCTTTCTATTATTATTATCAGAAGACGCATCAAATTAGTTCCTCTGAACTATGTAGAAATCTAATCTTTATCATCTATTAAATAAAATGTATCTCACCTCTTCCCTATCTTTTGGATAAGAATCTTGGGCCAACTGTAGTTGCTCTTCCAGCCACTTTATCTTTTGTTCTTTTTCCAGTGACTGACCCTGAAGAGAAGCATTACTTTGATGGAGCTGAATCTCACTTGCTTGCAGAGCTTCAAAACATATAGTCAATTCGTTGTAAAGCTATTTTCAAAGAAAACATAACATGGGATTGATAAATGCCATAATTGAAAACAAGTACTTAAATTTACAAGCATATGTAGTTTATTGCTGGTTTTTAGTTTACGAAGTCATACAGCCACCAGTATCATTATATTTTACGCTATTATTTTTGCAGTATTGGTCATACTTGTTTCCACTCCCACGCCATCCTCATACTAGTAGAAGTGCTATCTTTGCCTTTTATCCTTTATCTTTGTAACAAAAGGAACTCAACATTGTAATGTGTTTCAGACAACTGATTCTCCACCCAAACAGATCTAACATTACCCAGCAGTTCCATATACCTTTGTATGATGATTGTGCACAGATGAATTGGTATTCATAAACTTGAAAAAAAATTGGTATGTATCTTAATTCTTGAACAATGCTATAAATACAAATGAACGTACACATATGTACACACACATTATCAATAAAGTTCACTGATTACGATAAGAAGAATAAATTACTAAATGAAATATTTCTTATGAACAGAGCTCGACAATTAATGTAATCTACTCGCACGTGGTGAGTAGATTACAAGCCATCAGAGCCGCGCAGCGCGGTCAGCATAAGCGCAGCATGCCAAACCGTGCGGCTGGTGAGTGGGGCTCGCCGCCGTTTGGCGAGCCCTGCTTATGAAAGTGAGTTTATATATAGTGCAAGAAAAATAAAATAGAAAAACCCTTTTTAACTGAATAAATTAAAGTTTACATTTAGAAGAAAAGAATAAATTCCATGCACCAGACAAGTATATAACTGACTTAATAATTTGACCTTCCCTTTTTTTCTCATTTGCCTATTTTGCTCTGCTCTGTTAAAATTTGTAGCCCTGATTACCTGTTTGTCTTCTATATTTCTCTTCTATGCTTAATACCGTTCCTGTGCCGACCAATAAACCCATTCCTTCACTACATTTACATTATTTCAAGAGACCCATTTCTACCCATGATGACTATAAAAAAAATCAATGGAATATGACTCAATTTTGGCATCTAGAATTAATACTTGCATTTAGTTGGTAAATAGATAATAAGTATATAATTTAATTATAAAAACATTATATATTATAACAGGATTATACACTGCCTTGTCATTTTTATATATATCATGAATCTCTTTCTCGTTGCTTTTCTCCTCTGTTTGGTTTTGCCTTTCAGAGCATCAACTCTTTGGACAACTAATCAGGTCTTCGGTTATGTTTAGAAAACCTCTAGCACTTTGTGGGTACTATTAGAAACAGTAAAATCTACTCCTACTCCTATTGTTTTTTCAGACCATGACCACACAACATCTAGTCAGGTCAAATGAAATTATTTATTCCTTGCCCCAAAAATTGATCATAGACTAGACCAGCCTACCTAAGCATATTCATAGAATCATAGAACTGGAAGAGACCTCAGAAGGTCATGAAGTCCAGCCCCCTGCTCTAGGCAGGACCAATTCCAACTAAATCAACCCGGCCAGAGCTTTGTCAAGCCGAGACTTAAACATCTCTAGGGATGGAGACTCCACTACTTCCCCAGGCAACCCATTCCAGTGCTTCACCACCCTCCTAGTGAAATAGTTTTTCCTAATATCCAACCTGGACCTC